CCCTAAGAATCTAGCTTTAAAAACATAAAAATGTTTCAATTTGAAAAGGTAAAAACCCTTTTTTTTCCTGACCAAAATAGTGTGCCAAAATCAATACAAATTTGTGAAATGTTTTGGTCAACCCGAATCTGAATTTTTCTGTGAAAAAACTTTGGCCAAAAAATTTCGTCTAGCCCTACTCAGAACCCATAGCTCTTCCCTTCACCCCAGCAGCACTCATAGCTGTTGCTAAACCAAATTGTAACCTTCCCTCAACATGCTCCCTGATCCAACCTGTCCACCACTTTCTCAACAATGACTATCCACATCTGTTTCCCACCTGCTGAATCAGTCTGTGAATTTAGCAATCTTCCAGCAACAGTCCTACCACAAAATAGTGATCCAACCTGACTTCAAAGTTGAAAATTACAGAAAAATTGCTGAAATATGAGAGCAAATGCCAAAGCAGTTTCTGCAATGATGTGGTGTAAGGTCAGGCCTTCCACATGAGGCAACTAGGAAGGTTACATTTATTACATCCCGGTTATTTTTCAGTTTTACTCAACCAATAACCAAAAGGATTGCCAATAAATAGTAAAATAGAGCGGAAATTCCAATATCTGCTACATCCTAAGTGAAGATCCCATGTGTAAATTGCTTCACTGTTTGTCGGTCACTACACAGGGACACTAACAAGTGCTAAAGGGCTCTTTGCGATCTCAGAATAAATAATCCACCTAGAATCTAACCAACGAATAGTCTCCATGTTCAAATCCTGACACAATGTGAACATTCAAAATGACTCACACTCTAGATTTAATGGCACTGGGTAAGTGCTCCCAACTACTAGCTTTCCTTGGCAATTACTTGTTCTGCCCTATTTCCATTTCAGCGCTTTAAGTGGTTTTGTAAACAAGCCTTAGAACACATAACAAGCTAACCATTCCAAGGCCAGATGTGGAATTAGTATGCTACTATCTGGGGAGGAGTCTTCCTCACCTAGCTTTGGTATGGCCATTCCAGCAGTCCTCTTCATTTGACATGCCAGCTGTCACTCTTTCATCCTTGCAGATAGTATATGGTAAAGTTGACCAGAACTTTTTTGAAAGCTTCAGTTTTTCTTTAATGTCTGTTACCTGATCAAGAGACAAGAGGCACACTTGGTTAAAGAGGACATCCATACTCACTGTCATTTTTAAGAAAAGAGCGTTTAATTCCATACTACTTGATGGTGGAGATTAAGAAGATCAGTGGTACTAAAAGTCAAATTCCTGTATTTCCGAGCAAGGCACATTGCATTTGGGTTGAGTAAGCACAAATAATCCAAGACACCTTTAACTCACTCTTCCTCAAGCTAGACGTTTTTAAACAGAGAGAAAAGGGATAGCAACAGAGAGAACATTTTGGTTTTCCCTATTCTCCTTTTTGACTGAAGGGTTCTAAATTTCCATCCTCCCAAGCATCAATCTGCATGGTAGTCTAATAAATGCCAATTCAATAAAACAGTGTTTCATCAGATAAAATGTCTCACCCACTGATCTACTTGGTTTTGTAAATTGTCTAAATAATTATATTTAATTCTACATGTCTAGCTTCTAATAACTGTTGAACTGGTAGTGAACAGATGCAAAGTACCCAAAAGCTGTGAGTAAAATGCAGTAGATTTGGAGTCTCTGATGCTGAAGAGATTACACACACACACACACACATCCATCTATATAACTAGAGCCAGATAGATATTTATATGTAGACCTCAACTTCAAGAAATGATAGGACAGATTTAGAACAGGTCCCTGAAGTTGCAAGCTCCCTTCTGTGCAAGAGATTGCACCAGTTGGTATAAGCCAGCAAACCAGTGCAAACTTGCTTTCAGCATGTATTTGATGAATGTTCAGACTAAAATGTTATCAGTTTTTGTTTTGCATTTAGTTTACAAGGGCAGAAAATCTATAAACGTAGCTAAAAGGCACAACAAAGGGTAGGCTACAAAAGATTAATGGTATCATTGGGCCTGCAATGGTTGTTCTTATGGAAACAGATGCATTTCATATTAAATGGAATAGGATTATGGGGAACTTGTTGAATAGCTGTCAAAGGAAATCACTGAGTTTTATTCTTTAAAAACCAAGAAATAAAAGCTCTCTGTTCTTCCATTCAGTTTTAAGATAGGCTTTTCAGTGGTTAAGGTACAAGATTGTACTTGGCTATTTATCTCTTTTATCTTTTGTTCTGAAGACAGTGCAGCTCTCTGAACAAATGCCCCACACTGCTGTGTAATGCTGAAACTCTGTGAAATGTCACATTATACTGCAGGTGATAGAAACATCTGAGAATATTGCATCTGAAGTACTGTGCACATTTTCAACGGTTACTGAATAACCAAGATTCTAAATAAGTAAAAAAGTATTTTGTTGCATGACTTGTTGATTCCTGCAATAATAGAGATCTATATAAATCTCCTCCAACCCTAGTTGTTTAGTTTTAGTATCACACACTGCAGCAGCATGTGCAAGCCTTTTAGCTCTGAACTGGGGAGCCCTTTCAAGCCAAAAAATTACACACCAGATTATCAACACTAGGCAAACGCTCAGTGACTTTGTAAATGGTGTTGAGATAAATCAACACAGTACATTACAGAATATTATATTGATTTCTCCTGGTCCTTGCTGGATCTTTCGGGTCCCTCAGAGCAGAGTGCCCGAGAAGTGAGTGGACAGGAATTCCTCCCACTCCTGTTTGCCTGGGACTGAGGGACAAAACTGAGGTTTACCAGTGACTCAGCTAATCAAGGCAAGCAGCTCTGCTAACCCCCAGGTGCTCCCATACCAAGGTGTAAATTCCACAGTGCAGTAGCTTGGATAAATTCTATACGACACTGTCTGGCTTGAAATGGGGGAAAAATAGGCTGCAGAAAGCAGTAACAATTCCAATAAACTCCAGGAGTTTAAAAGCAACAGGAGAACATTTCTACTCTAATGGCTGTGACTAACTACTTATTTAGGCTCACTGTGATGCCTGGTGAGCAGTTATTTACAGAAGTATTCCCACTGACATCAGTGGTGAGCATGGATTCTCAGGAGTAGTGACTTATATGAGGAATGGGTTCTGACCCCTAAAACTTAGATTTTGATAGCCATATGAAAAAGAACATGACTGGCAATTTAGGACTGTACACTTTTATTTTGAGTCACAAAAGAGTAAATATCCTTTGGAAGGGGCCTTTCTTTCATTCATGAAAGGCTTCCCTTCTGCTGTGCTAATCCTGCGCTTCCATACAATTCTTAGTAAATTCTCACAGTACTGTAAGGGATTTTAGTGGAAGTCCCATGGCTCAAACCCTGGATAAGGTTTTCAGAATATCCCTGTAAAAATGAACATGAGGGGGTCCAGATCCATTGTCATTTTTGCAAACGTTACGCTGTTGTTGCACATGTACTCTCTGTGTGCGCACTGCTTTACACCACAGAGGAATGATGGGTTATTAAACTTTATAATCAGAGAGATTTTTCTACACTACGAAAACAGACAAGACAAAGTAACAAGAGCCTGCATATAGCACTTTGCAAACATTAACTAATTAATCCTCAAAACTTTCCTCTGTAGCTGGGGGAAATGACAGAGAGAAATTTGCATGTACAAATTTGGCCAAAGCACAATACTAGTTCTTATATAGTACTTTTCTTCTATAGTTCTCAAAGCACTTTACAAAGGAAGTCCATATCATTACCCCCATTTTACAGACAGGGAAACTGAGGCATAGTGACTTGCCCAAAGTAATATCAGTAGCCGAACCAAGAATAGAACCCAGGACTCCTAGACTCTAGTTTAGAGTACAAGCTACTAGACCACACCAGCTACAGAGGATAATGCTTACCACACTAGGTACCTGTGCTCTCCAATAATGTAGTTTGAGAAGAGGTGATACTGTAGTGCTGTAATCACTGTGGAATGACAAATGTTTTGTTTCTAATGGCTCCCACTGCAGATACAATTTCTTAAAACTCAGATTATGGAAAGCTACACTCTAAAAATAAACATTTAAATTGTATTAGAGTGGGGAGTGTGGTAATGAATATTTTCACTTGCTAGCTATGTCCTTCTCTAGCCCACTTTACTCTGACATTACACAGTGTTGAATAAGGGCATTGACACAACTCATCAAGTCTTTTATTCTTTCACACTGCTTTACTGGGACTTCTGCTCATCCTTTTGAAGCATGGTAGCTATAGCTGGACTTGACAGGCTCAGCTGACCTGCTATTCTTCCCCCATGAAGCTAACTTTGACTTTGGATTTTCTGGAAGTACAGTGCCATTTCTGTTAGCCATTAGTGGAGGAGGAAATGGTGATACAAGCTATTTGAGGTTCCCTTTAAGAGATGGAGTGGAGGATGATGGTCATGTTTATTAGAGGAGTGGGTGGGTGAAATTCTGTGGCCTGCAAAGTACAGCAGGGTCAGACTAGATGATCATGATGGTCCTTTCTGGCCTTAAAGTCTATGAATCTATGTTCAGTCACATGGTGTGAAAGCTGAGTGGATCAGAGATATATTTTAAATGTAAGTCAAATAGCTGTAAAATACTGCACAGAATTAGGGAGACATAATTCTATGGAATTCATAACATTTTCCTGTGGGTTTCGGGTGACTTTAGTTGTGAGGTCATCCCAGCCACATCAACAGAAAGTCTCCTATTAGTCGCCACAGTTATGTGTTCTCCACAATACATCTTTTGAATATCAACAGCATTCTTAAAAAACACATATCAGATGTACAGTACCCCTAAGATGAGATAAAATCCATTAAGGATTCAGCTAATATTTCTCACTTGTGGTTCATGAAGTCAGACTACTGTAGCCCATTCAGTAAGCTGTGGCCTTGTAAATGATTCCTTGGTATTTATTATTCTGTGAGCTTTTCATCTGAATTAAGGATTATCTTTCAAGCTCCGTTAGACTTTTATGAAAACATTTAAACAAAAGGCCTATGTAATTTTGATATTTTATATAGTTCCCTTCCACTCTTTCTAGCAGGGATTGGCATTCAAAATCTCTTTGAATGGGATTCATCTGATTCTTGCTTGTCAGACTTCACGATCTATTTTGAACAATTCATCCAAACATTATTTTGAAAGTGTTGATCTGAGTTGCAGCAGCTGTCCATCATAAGAAAAGGGACTTACAAATTGCCACCCACAAAAAAATTAGATTTCTGGTTCATTAGTGCATGTATATTTGGTGATGGGTTTGAAAATTGTACAAGGTTAGCCTGGCCCGCCTCTGTAATTGTTAACAGAAAGAGTTACTGTGTGAGTGAGAGATGTTAAATGTTTGAGCATGAATTTAGCAATCCTTCAAGGGGGTCTTAAGTACTGAGAGGAAGGATGGACTTGTGGTTAAAGGTATTGGCTTGGGATTCAGGAGATCTGGGGTCATTTCCTAGCTCTGCCACAGACTTCCTATGTGACCTTAGGCAAGTCACTTAGGGTACTATCTCTGCAAAACACTTGGACGTGTGTTTTATTCCATCCCTGTTCAGCAAAGCATCTGCTTAACTTTAAGTATGTTAGTCCCTTTGAAGTTCAAAGTATAAACTGAGAGTAAGACATTACCATTCTGATTTTTCAACTTACCTTGTACACAAGACAAGTATCAGGCCCTTAAATCTATAGGGAACACAATCCCAGAATGATTAGCTCCATCATAGAAAAACGCCTGCTAACTCCTACTATTCAGAACAGATAATTTGGGTTAATTAAGAAATGTAACACAAGAATAATAAAGGCCTGATAACAAAATGATGGTATTTCATTAATATGGAAGACCCAGGAGAAATTTACCTGAATATTTTTGAATTGTGTAGTCACAGTTAGGAATTAACCACACAATCATCTGCTTTTGGTAACAGTCTGTTGAACATCATACAGGTAGTAACATGAGCAAGACTCAGGCATTGTTTTAAGAAGAAATGTTTCCTATTACCCTTCCCCTCTGACATTTTTTGAGCCACCTTTGTATGGTTATTCTGCAAATTTCAGATGTTTTTGTATTTTAAATTTAAGTGGGAAGCTAAGTTTGCCTTTCTGTTGAAATGTTCTCCCATGTGAGGCCCAGAAAGTCTAAAGCAGTGATACTCAGAC